AGTATAATTTAATCAGACATGGAAAAAAAGAATATGGATTAAGATAATTTGGAGGTGAAAAAACACATAGCAGCATAAACATTGAACAAGAATAATAAAGAAACCTACAAAAATAGTTACATACGATAAAAGTCAAGAAAATCAACGTAAACATCTAGAGAGACAATAATTGCAAAACAAATATACTTGATATTCATTTCAGTCAAGTTATTTATTTGTGGCATGGCTTTATCTTTTTCTTTGTTTATTTGAGTATTTTGCCACCGGCGGATAAAATAGAAAATAATTAAATAAACTCAAGTCAAGAGTTATTTTTGTTACACTACTTTTACCTAGCCAAATTAATATACCAATGTTTTTTTTATTTATTTCACAGATGGCAAAATACTCCAGCAAACATGGAAAGAGCTATTTTTTCTTTTCATATAGATATAATTTTATGTTCAGTTTAGTTGAAAGAAAACTGGCATAACAAATATTTATTATTTTTTATTGTATTTCATAGAAATACGTGCATTATCTTCAAAGAACATTGTATTTGCCATTTACATAAAAAATAACATTCGTCAAGTGAAATAGCAATTTATTTTTGGTTTTTCAAATATTTTTAGATATATGCAAAAATATGTTTTTGAAATTAAATGGAAAAAATAACAAATTTACACAATTTTAAACCCATAAGCAGATTCTATTATTTACTTTATAAATAGCACTCTTAATAATTTGATTATTTCTTATCATCTCCAATAGAGTTTTAAATTAAATAATAATTTTTTTTTGAAAAAAGATTTTTTTTAATAATTTCCCGAAATATTTAACTCTGAAACGCCGTTTTTCCATCATTGTTACCAGTAATTATTTTTTATGTGCAGCAGTAATTTAGTGTAATTAATAAAGGTAACGTAGAAACAGATTGCCCTTCGCAATAATACTAAAACCAAGTTCATGGTTGTTACCGTCATGGTCACTATGTTTAAAGCCGGTGCCCTTTTCCTTGGGTGAATATTGTCAATTTGAATAAATAATACAAGGATCCCACTCTCCAAAGGACAATTCAGCTAAATAAATCAATCTTTGATTACCATTTCGATGTGCATTAAATCACTTTAATGTCATCTCACTGCCATTTTATCCCACATTTCCCAATATAATTTGCTTTCAAAATGTATGCTTTAGACCCTTTGCGATATAGCTATCATTAGATTTTAAAATTATTAAAACATAGTAATTGTTAGTTTCATTCATTTCTATCTATATGATACTGCAGCTGTAGCATGCTCTAAAGAAGTCTAAGATGACGTTTGTTCGACTAATATTTATTAATTCTACTTCTCTTGAAAGTTAAATGTAGAAATAGTAAGATCTTCCTATTGTGGCTATTTTTGCGAGTTGGGCTTTGTCAAGAGTGATATTAGAACAGCAAGAATACAAGAATATAAGTCACGTATGCGTTTTTGTATTAATAATATTTAGACACATCATTTTTAGTTTAGATATTTTATGTTATACCGAGATTTTTGGATTAGAAGAACATTCGTGACACTTTCATGTTGTTCTAATTTTGTGCCATTTTAATTAAAATTAAATTTAGTAGGATCAAAGTATTTTGATCAGCTTGTATTTATTAAAGTTTTCTGTGATTTTCGCTTTGCCGTTTCATAAATTATAGCATTCTTCCAATTTTTAATTTTATATGTTGGAACTTCAAATTTAAATACCTTCTCTGTATTAAGTAAGTAACATGTAAATGCTAGCAAATTTACTACAAGTGATCTAATATATTAGAAACCAAATGCTGATATGATCAGAAGTGAAAAAAATGATAATTATAGAATCTTGTATAATGGTATGCAACTTTAAATACATTCGTATACTATATTACTTTGTGTTGTATATTTCATTCAGGGTACTCACTCAATAGCCGTTTTCTTTTCATCGTTTCATTGAATCACGGATCTTTGATCCGGATCGTATTGTTCGAATCACAATGAATGTCAAAAGAACATGTTTTTGAAACTGCGTTTATTTTAAAAATAAACTGAAAATAAAAAACCTCTTAAATCTGATTAGTTAGTCCTGGATTTTTTTCTTCTGTTACGAATATAATGCCGTCGTTACAAGTTATAAAAACTATTACTTCTTAAATTTTATTCAAAATAAAATAAGCGACAAAGAGTTAGACCATAAAATGTTTTACCTTCTTGTGCTAAGTTGTAATCGATACCAGAATTTCAACATATTGGCCTTCTGAATCTATTACACCTAATAATACAATTTCTTGGGATCGAGTTGCTCATACTTTAACCCCTTCAGCCATTTTTAGGTTAGAATTTTAGGATTCGAATCAAATGTGCAAAACGAATCACCACAAAAATTGTACGATTCAGAAATTAAAGAATTTAACCATTCCTGATCTAAAAATGTGTTCAAAGGAATAGCGACCGGTCGCAAAACATCCGGTGAAACGGGTTATGATCAATATATTTGGATGAAAAGAAGACGGCTAATATGCCTTAAGTAATACTAAAATTCAAGTACGAGGATCCAAGATTTTACAAAGAAGCAATGGAAAGTTAACAAAATTAGAATAAAATCAATTTAGACTACAGCTTGGAATTTTCTGAAAGAACACAGAGCTTTAAAAAATAATAAAAATCCGGAACGCTATGAACCAGAACTTTCATCAAATCTAAGTAACAACCAGAAGACAATTTTCATAGTTTCTTCTAAAGAAGAATGATATGTCTCGAAACGTCAAGAAATTTAAACCGATAACATAGCAACCAGCCGAGAAATTGTATAACCTTTAATTCTATTTTCTGTAAATATGTTAGAAATAAAAAATTAAAATTTGTAATCGATAAAAGAACTGGTCCTGGCCGGTCTATCCATCAGTCTGGATAAACTATATTTAAGTGTTCCCTAACTCTTAAACTAAAATGAGGTGGAGCCCCATCGTGCATAAACCACATATTAATGCGTGTTTGTAAGGGAAGATCCTCTAATAGATTGGGTAGTTGCTCTTGGAGAAACTGTAAATATCTCTGGCCATTTAGTCTAGGTCTAGGTGGTAATTCAACAGGTCCTATTAAAAGATGTCCAATTATGCCTGCCCATGCATAAATTGATTTGAAACTGCACTTGATGAGCGGGTTTCCCTTATACCATGAGGGTTTTCGTCTGCATAAATGTGTAGATTATGCAAGTTGATGGGTCCGTCCCTACGAAAACCTGCCGAAAATAGTATTGGAGTGGTAAAATTAGGAGCTTAGTTAACCTTTTCCAAGAGCCATGTGCAAAATTGTATTCTTGCAGGATAGTCATCTATGCTTAAACCTTGAACTTTTTGCATATGGTATGGGCGCAGAAGTTGTTCTTTAAGAATATTATTTACCGTGCATTTTGAAATCTGAAACTGTTGCGCTACATTCCTAACACTAACTGTAGGATCTTCAGCGACAGAATCCAAAATACCTTCTTCAACTTCAACTGAACGAATAGTTATCTGAACTCCACAATGTCGGTCCATATTTGGCATAAAACTACCTTAAATAATATTAAATGTGTTACAATTACAAATTAGAAACCTATCTGTTATTCAAAATAAACTAATAGAGATGTCATACCAGTTTTCCGTAACTGTTGATCAACGCGTTGAAATGTTACTGAATTCGGTAGTTGTCTATTGGGAAATCTCTGATATAGCCTTTGAGCTCTCAATGCATTACATCGTGCTTCTCCATAAATTAAGTGTATATCACAATATTCTGTAAATGTATACTCCTTAATTAGGTATTTTTAAAATATTACAACAATTGTCAACCCGACACTTTCATAGTATCATAACAAGTAATTGAAACCATAGTAACGCTATGTGCAGATATTTTTCAAAGTCACTTGATTAATCCGTTGTGATATGACATCTTTTAATACAGTTTAGGATTTTACACCATAGCCAGGAAATAGAAAATAATATGTATTCAAATGATTTGACCAATTTTTACCTTCCCTTTAATTCTCATTAGTTTAATTTAAGGATCAAAAGTCGCTTAAAAACGAAATGCATTGAAACTTTTATATGCAAATATCTCGATAACCAATGGAGATATCTAAATCGAATAAGAGTAACTTTTTTATGAAACAAAGGACGTTCTTTCATATTTTAAATACACAATGTCCGTAATTCTAAAGGCAAAAAAGTTTTTCCCCTTTTTATCAAAGGAACAGGGCAAAACTGACGCCCTGTACAAGCAACGTCAAAATTAGTTAAAAATTCTTATTTGTCATGTTAAAATACATAATAGTGCCAATTTTTTATTCATACTCTTGACAGTTTTGGAAATTATTGTGGAATTTCAAAATAAAATTCAAACATTGAACGCCCTGTATCATTGAAACCAGCAACACTTGCATATTTGGCTCAATCGACTTATTTTGGCCACCAGCATTGCCAGCTTCGAGATTTCCCAACCTTTCGCAGACACCCTGTATAAATGATCTGAATCAACTTAATCCTACTTCAAATGAAGTCCAAGATCATTTCTCCCAACTCTTTGATAAAAAGAAATAGATTGCTAATTACATCGTCTATGAATCATTTGCTTTATTTTTAATTTAAAAAATCTGACGCAAATCCATTTGCATATTTCAAACTTTGAACTACACCTTACCTTAGTAGCAGACGATTGTTAACTTCTTTTTAAAAAAGCGGTATACCTTTTTTATTAAATCTGGTAAAGGTTATTTTCTGCATCCAATGATAAATTTTATGCAAGATTTATATTATATATCGTTGGATTCAGGAATAAATCCTCGGCAAAAAAGTTACAATCGCCTGTCATTAAAGTAAAAAAAAAAATATGATGCCGGTTTGTATTCTTTAGGCAACTGATGTCAATATTCTGTTTTTTTTAAATCGAGTAAGAAAATGTCGGAGTTATGTCTTACGGCGTCTTTTACTGAACACCCTATATAAATAAAGTAATTATTTTTTAGGAAAATCGATAATAAATAATTTATTGAACTGCATACAAAAATTACATTAGCAACTATTAATACACATCTTAAATATAAATCATCTCGAATGCCGAGGTTATAACGTCCGTAGATAATCACGACTAAATAAATATCACATACATGTTAGACATAGCACAGAAATGACCTTCCCGATAGTTTCGGAGTTCACGCGACGAACACGTAACTCGCAAGAGTCAATCACTAATCCGCAGTGGGCCGCGACAAGAGGTCAATTGTTCCCAATTAGGATGAACCACGGCAGGATCACCGTGACAGTTATGCAGAAAAGGCAGGTCATGCCCATCGTCAGAATGTTCGAGCCTTGGATGTGGTGGCACCACTCCGCCTCCTCCAGCTCGTGAGCGCCCCTCTGGAATTCTTTTATTTCCACCTCGTACCGGAATTTCACTCTGAAAAAAAGAGAATGTATAGAAACATGGATATAGAAAGTTGGTGCAAATATGTTCAATTAGTTTTAGGACTGTTTTAATTAACAGCAACAAATATCGTGAATAGTTTAAAATATAGATCTTCAAATAAACTATTCTCGAGTAATTGATAAAAATTGTGTTTCACTGAAAGATCTTAGAGATCTAAAATCATTTCAAGTAAAATGTGTTAGCTTCGTTTTTTTTATAAATTTTGTCGAGAGGTAACACACATTAAAGTGTACCACAAATCGCATAACTGTATTTGGTGGAAAAATATTTGAATATGTTTTCAAAATGTATGATTTCACAGTGAATAATATCCAAAAGCAAAAACATCATTATTATGTAACAAATGGCTTGTGACGTTTATTAAATATATCGTATTGTTTTTTGCTGATAATAATTGTTCTATTTGTTCACGAAACCTTTGACTACTGCGTTTTATTGGGTCAGAACAGTATTTATCTTTAAAATTATATTATTACATATGATTTCAATTGCTGCCATTAATATCGATTCTGTATAATTAGGCCAGGAAAATAAGCTGGGAAATGATCATTTCGCGACTTTTTGTTTCGGCAAGTTGAATTTATCACTATAAATGCTAAATATTATGTGCAATAACATATTAGTTTCCACAGTCATAAAAATGGGAGGAAGATTGTTTATAGGCTGGTTAATTGTATAATTTTTACGCAAATTCACGTTTTTCGCTTATAACTTTTTCCGTTCATTTCCACAAGAAAAGAGTAAAGCACTTTTCTTTTCGCCTTCAAAACACATTCCTTATCACTGTCTAATAACTCACACGAAATCTGGAATCGGTAAGTTGAATAGTTTACAAGTTACGGCCTTATAAACAAATTAACTAATTATTAGTCTGGACGATCCCGAGCATCTTCCACAATCGCACTGTTTTTTTTCATGGTAGATTTCATATTAATACGTTGAATTGTATTTGGTTTTAATTTCAAATTTGCAACATGGATTTTTTTGTATTTTTTAGCCTTAGTTGCAAAATGAAATATATGACTCACGAGCGTGATTAGTTATATGTATATTATTATATATTCGGAAAGCTTATGAAAAGAACTTTAAGTTAAAAAAAGATCGTCAAGATTCGTTGAAAGACAACGGAATTACAGACTGTCAAAGTTGACGGCCGATTGTTAAACAAATTACATTGGTAACCCGAGTACTTTCCCAGGTAAAAATATTTTATTTGTGGAAGTATGTTAAGTGCATAAGAAATATTGTCAAAAGTCAGTGGGTCGCTTGATTTTCGGCGAGCCGTGGCATGGAGGAAGGGTGGGGGAAGCGAACGACAGCGAGTCCGAAGAAAATAACAATAATATTCGTAGTCCTGCCGTTAAATAAGGGAAATTCGCTTGAAAATAATATATTTGACAGTCTGTAACTACGTTGTTTTTCAACGAATCTTGACGATTTTTATTTTAACTTAAAGCTCTTCATAAGCCTTCCGAATATGTAATGATATATAACTATAATATCATGCTCGTGCGTCGTATATTTCATTTTGCAACTAAGGCTCAAAAATAAAAAAAAAATCCAGGTCGCAAATTTGAAATTAAAAAAAAAAATGATTTCAATGTATTATTATGAAATCTACCACGAAAAAATCAATGCGATTGTGGAAGATCCTCGGGATCGTCCAGACTAATAGTTAGTTAATTTGTTTATAAGCCCATAACTTGTAAACTATTCAACTTACCGATTTCAGATTTCGTGTGAGTTATTAGATAGTTATAAGGAACGAGAGGATACGATGCCAAAACGTTCTGGTGATAATAACGCAGTTGTTTAATTCAAAGGTAGTAAATAAACTTCTTAAGTTTATAACTTTTGATCTAATCAATATTTTTTGACGCTCGGCTAGTTTTGTAGGTCTTTTGAAGGCGAAAAAAGTACTTTACTGTATTCTCGTGGAAATGAATGGAAAAAAGTTATAAGCGAAAAACGTGAATTTACGTAAAAATTATACAATTAACCACCCTGTAAACAATCTTCCTCCCATTTTTATGACTGTGGAAACTAATATGTTATTGTAGATAATATTTAGCATCTATAGTGATAAATTCAGCTTGCCGAAACAAAAAGTCGCGTCCAACTCTATATTTCCTGGACTATTAGGGCTATTTTAATTAACAACAACAAATATCGTGAATAATCTAAAATATAGATTTTCAAATTAACTATTCTCGAGTAATTGATAAAAACTGAGTTTCACTTTCTCAGTTCTTGAAAGATCTTAAAGATCATTTCAAGTAAAATGTGCCTTATCTTTTTTAAATTTTGTCGAGAGGAATCGCTCCTTAGAAAGCACTACAAATCACATAACCCTTTATTTGATAGAAAAATATTTGAATATGGTTTCAAAGTGTATGAATTCACAGTGAATAATATCCAAAAATACCATTATTATGTAACAAATAGCTTGTGACGTTTATTAAATATATGGTATTGTTTTTTGCTGACAATAATTGTTCTATTTGTTCACGAGACCTTTGACTTTATCTTTAAAATAATATTATTACATATGATTTCAATTAGTGGCATTAATATCGTTTCTGTATAATAGCCCATAAATGCAGATGTTTAGGTTGACAGAGTAGACATATTAAAGTAAATTTTATTACAGTTTAATGTAATTGTTACCGCTCATAGGTATAGTCGTTTCGAAATCAGTTCGACATGTATAAAACGCCTAGCAATAAAATTTAATAAGTTTCATAGGCGTTCCTCAAAAAGTTTTTTGCTAAACGTAAAAAATAATAATAGTTTGTATATAATGTGTAGAAAATTTCTATTATATGTTCATTTTGTCAATAACATACTTTAATTATTTATGACCTTAATTTTCTTAGGGTATATAAATTATAAATTGTCCACCGAATTACGTATCTCGTCATGTCATCGATATTTTTAAATTTTTGTTTTCACTTCCTCTTTACGCAATTATTTGAACACCTTGTTTATTTAATAACACGAAAAATTGTGGACACCGAAACTTTAATTAATATGTGAATTCTATTTATAATTCCATTATCTGATTTTTCATTTTCTTACTTATTACGAATTAGCCTAGATAATTCCTAGATAATCACTCACTAGTGAAGATTTTTTGTGTAAGTGTTGTTTTTACATATTTTCAGAAAGATAAGTGCAATATAATTTAATAGCTTTCAATGAACAATAAACATTGACCTTTGGTAAAGGTATAAAACATTAAATTATTTATAAATTTTGTTATTATCTAAAAGTGGAGTTAATTTTCGGATTCGTTCCATATCAGTTTTTATCAGTTTTTGTTGGCAATCAATATTTACATTTATGTGACTATTTCCTTTTTCCACTCTATCTGGAAGTTATTATTATAATGTCACAATGATGTTCAAAATAATAAATTTGGGAATGCTAGTAAAGTGACGTTGAATATTCAAAATTAAATTCATGTTACATAATAATTTTAAATACGTACAGATACGATAAACTCTGCAGGTGACGTAATTAAAAAATAAATATTTGATTAATAAAAATAGCTCTTACTATGTGTTAAGTATTGTATTGCATCAGTTATAATGTATCTGCTTTGTTTACTTTATCTGATTCCTAGTTAACCCTAAACAGTATTTTGTTTTAATTTGTATAAAATTTTCTTCGTAAACAATGATATGTATTAATTATATTACAATTTTTTAATGTTGAAAGCGACGTTTTTCCAGATGAAACAGTTGCAAAAATTGTAATGTCATGCGTTTGTATATAGATACGGATATTAGGCGAGCGGTTCACCCCTAAATAAACGGCATGTACCGACTAAATTTTTAATACAGAAACCCACAGCATAAAACTTTTTTTATTTTATAGTGTATTTTTCTGATAATTTACATATTTTTTAATATTTTTCGGCGTGGTCAGTCAATTGTTATAAACAAAAAAGTTGTAAAAAAAATACTCGCCGAATGGCTTTGAAAATAGTTTGTTGTAAAATGGACCAAAATAAACACTTTTTGTTCTTTGACAAATGCTTCGTTTCCGAGATATTTACAATTTAATGTGAAAAAAGTGACGACATCGACAAACTTTCGGAATTTTTTTCTCAAAGCCATTGGGCGAGTATTTTTTTACAACTTTTTTGTTAATAACAATTGACTGACCACCCGAAAAATATAAAAAAAAATATGTAAATTATCAGAAAAATACACTTTATAAAATAAAAAAGTTTCATGCTGTAGGTTTTTGTTTTAAAAATTTAGTCGGTTACCTTCATTTAGAAGCATCTTTTTAGGGGTGAACCGCTCACTTACTACTTGAGCATAAGCAGATAGTATTTTTGCTTAATTGATTTCTTTCCGCAATAAAAACTTAAATTGCTCATAAAGCGGATAAGTTCTACACCGAATATAATAATCTCTATTTATTTTAAACACGATATTGATATATCAATTTGCTTACATTTGTCGTATATTAATTAAACAATTTTTACACGCATATACAATAGAGCTACGGGTGTTCATAATTTATACGTACGGATATTTTTATTAAAGTACTAATTCCTGTATTTCATGTTAACTATTAATTGAAACTTACTGTTTGGTAAAATGCAGAATGTAAGGACTACTTATACAAGTTGAACATTTTTTTTAATTGTTCGTTAAATTACTTTAATAGTAACTCGAGATTTAATATCACAAGTACCTAATAAAAATATATTTAATGGAAGTTGCATCAAATCAATTTCTTCAAATTTCAAAATTATTTTCGATTGTACAAGATACCTTATTTTTTTTGGTCGTTACCCAACTTAATAATTTCAAAAGGAACTCCCTTTTAATTTCTGAATTTAAGGCTTGTTTTGATAAACAATACTGCATCTAATTATACAATTTTGCTGTTCTTGATGTGTTTTTAAAACAATGGTGTTTTCACCTTTCTCGATGATGTCAAATATCAGTGAGACTAAATAAAATGTGGTTTTTGCCGTTCGATGAAAAAGAAGTATATCTTGTATAATACTTACGGACCTCAGAACTTTTGAAATGCTCAGCCATACATATTTTGATATTTAAAAACTTCCTCTCTCTTTAATTAAGATACTTTTTAAATTTTAAAATGTGAAGCAATTGACTCAGTAAAACTTTTATTTGAAAATTTTGTGTCATATTGTTCTAAAACTATTTACATTTACGAAAAAAACTAGAAGGAATCAAATTTGTTTCATATAAATCTAGTTATCTAAAATATATTTTAAATGACCGTATTAGCGACAGAAAAAAAGTTTCTACCCCCTGCAGTCTGAAGAGGAAGACCAAGAAATTAACCAGTAAATGCCCTTTTTGATAGTATTAAAAGTATACATAATTCTATTTTTGTAATTTTCTCCATAATTAAGAAGAAATGTTAAAATCAAATTTTTCTGTTTCTCCGTATCAATCTGCAAGTAGGTACTGAAATATTTTTTTTTCATGAATTTTCAATCAGAAATCAGTTTTTCGTACTTTCGCTCTATATCCTGTATATATTTTAATTCTTATGAATAACATATTTTTGTGAATATACGTAATAATTGTGACCGATTAGAAAAATTTCAAAGAAAAAAATTGGTAGTGGAGGTGACGAAAGTTTTCCCTAAAACTGCGTCTCTCCAAAAAGAATCTAATCTGTCCATACTTTTACGGGAAATCAGAGGTACCTACCAAATTTGAATACAATCGTGTCCGCAAAATATTTGGAATTAAAAATTTTTTTTTTAAGTTATAATTCCTTTATCTCGTACACCTTTATAATTATAATAAATGTTCGTAATATAAAGTTATGCATCTCTTGCCGTTAAATATATTTTATTAATACTGGTAAAATCAACCATTAATCATGTAAAATAATGGTGGTGGAATGGAGTTATTTATGTTTTCAATAGCGATTTGTATATACTATATTTTACATTCGACTAAAGTGTAATAAATCGCAGTCCTTAATATTCGAAATACGTCATAGAAAATCACCAACATTTAAAAGATATATATTTACTTAACACTTAATAAATGCACGTTTTTTTTTCTGGGAAATATAAATGTACAATACATCTTATTTGTGTTTATAAATAAACTTTAAATAAAGTTGCCAGCTTTGTCAATATAGAAAAAATATATTTAAATACTTTTTGACACTTCTAAACATTTTATTTCAGTTTAGATAAAAAATTTATAATTATTATAATAATAATTATAGTCAAGAAGATGCATATTTTACTAATTGCGTATCTTCAGTATTTAGCGATAGTAGTAAGGAAGTAATCTAAAAATAACTTATCTATCAGTTTACGCATATATTGTTGATTATACGATATTTTCATAACTAATTACAACTTTGAAATGAAATTGACAAATAATTATTTGGTTAGTTATTTACTTGTGAATAACATTTGCGTAATTATTAAAAAATTTCCATTTTCTATTTTTAGATAATTGTGGTAGGTATGTAAATAGCTTAAAAGTTTTCCAGATATTTTTTTCTTAAAAGTGTCTCACTCTACTTATATAGGTACAGTGGGATCTTCTAAGAATCAAAACACTTTTGTATTTGTTTGAAATAGTTAAAAACAAAAATTCAGGATCATGTCGTTTTGACTCAGAACAGAATTCTTAATATGTTTCAATACCAAAATATTGTGATCATTAACAAAAAAAATTATAAAGTTGTTTTGGTTTGTAGTGTCACCTTCTTTTTGCAAATGTCATCTGGTATAAATTCCATATCTACATAAATGGTAGAAAACCATACAAAGAACCTTACCTTGAATTTTTTCCCATACTGTCCCTTCTCCAAAACAGTGGTCCTGAATCGGTCTGATCTAAGATCCATTGCGGTTCAGGTACACCGAAATTATCCACCACCGTCATGATCAGATTGTTTTATCTGAAGAGCTCTGGTCAAAATACAATAGGTAGCAGTTAAGTGTTTACCAGTCACTGCTAATGCTTAGGATGACTTGCCCTAGTACGTCGTTATGCGTCAATATTTTTAGTAGAAAGCGAAGATTGGTTTTTCTTTGGCTAAGTTCGTCCTAGAATAAAGAAGACACATTAATGTAGAGTAACTTCATTTGCATATAAAATTTGTAAAGAAAATAATAACGAATAGATAATACATACAGGGTGTAAAAATAATGTTGCAATGAATTGCTGACTCGTCAAAACAAAAAAAAATCCTGAAACGACATTTGAGGCTTAAATGTTGATCATGAAATGCATTGTTTGATTAATTGTTCTCAGAACCGTTGAAGATACAAACTTCGAATGTGTCACCACAGTTAAATATCCAAAAACCATGACAAAAGTATCAAATAAGAACTTTTTTTTAGATTTAGATTCAATTCAATTTCAATTCTTTCCCAATACGTACCCTAATTATTTGTAAAATAGAGAATGGAGAAGAACGATTAAATTTTCTTCTCATTTTGGACTTGTCAACCGAGAATTCTGCAGAACATCTCAAAAAGCACAATAATTTTTCTTGGGAGTTGAAATCCTTCAGTCTTTCTAAATCAATTGTTACTAGCGTCACGAAAATAGCTACTATAAGGGAACAGCACGCACTAAATTTGTAATCTGTATCTTCAATAGTATTTGATTAATTGATAAAAACATGCCTTCCAATTGTTCTTTGAAAGATCACATCATAGATCCCTTGCATATCTTTTGTTTCAATTAGAGGGATCAACGCTGAAAGCTCGTTATAAGGGCATTGTTGCAACCTACATATTTACAAATATTTCCATTTTTAAGATTATTATTATTTAGGCTTAAGAGTTTGCACTCTTTGCCTATGCACCTATTAAATTTGACCTTGATATAATTAATAAACTGATTAATGGAATGAATCTATTCTAGAATTTAAAATTGATATAAGTAATGACTAGTAATTCAAGGATAATTAAATCATAATTACATAAATAATTTCGTTTTGTCAGATTGATGTATGTGTTTTGTCAAACTGATAATATTTATATTAATCTTAATCTATTTAAGTTGATTAATTTATATATAATTATTTCATCTATGTGTTTGTACTTGAGGAGAATTTAAATTATGAATACATCTACTGTATTTCCGAATATGTGCGGCATAATGTATGTATGTACGTCAACTCGTTACACAATTCTGTAGTTATTTTTTTTTTAACTCAATTTGCATGTAAAAAGCGAATGACGCACAAAAAAGTAAAAAAGCACTATAAAAACCTATAAAGGATCTTGGTTTTATTTATTTTTAATGAAATTTTCAGTTGAATTTCCAATTTGCAAAAAAAATGAATGTACTTGCTTTCGTTTCTAAAGAACAAAGTATAAATAAATGCCCACGCTCTATCAATTTATATCATTTGTTATTAATAGTGTAGTGTTTAATTAATTAATCTTATTTAGATTTGGATAACATAAAATCAATTTGTAAAATGAAGCTAAATACATTAATTTAATTGCCCTTCGGTTTAATAAAGTGCTTATGACTATATTCGAAATCAGATCAGTTTAATGTCATTGTTTATAAATTGCGTTTATACGTAGCTTTTGTATTTTGTACCCATTTGAAATATTTCTGTTTTTTTATTGTTATCGACAGTTTATAGTCCAGTATTTGATAATGATAACTATGTTACTCAGACGGAGAAGATTCATGAACTATTATGTTTATAAATATTGTTAAAAACAAAAGTACACTTCTGTAAAAAATTGTAATTTCAACTTTGCAATTAGATGACTTGTATAATTAATTTTTTCTCTATTGTTTTTCGGTATTCCGCCACCTGTGAAAAGAATACAATGATCTACCAATGGTTTTGGAGCCAGGGTTTATACAGGGTGTTCTACAAGCTCTATGACAAACTTTGACAGATGCTAGCTGGGTTAATTTCAAACATTTTTTCTTATATGCACATAGGTCCGATTCGTTTTTGTTTACAGATTACAAGAATTTTAAAAAATATTTTGTATTTCAGACAAAGTAGCCCGACAAATAAAAATGGTGGTTGCTATAACAATAATTATTATTTGTGTTTAACGTTTAAACATTAGTTAACCTTTATTAACCAAATTAACAGGCGACTTTGATCGAAATATGAAATTATATTGTATATTTAAAATGGTTGTAATATCTAAACAAAAATATATAAGGAAAAATGTTTGAAATAAACCCATCCATTATCTGTCAAACTTTGTCATAGAGCTTGTAGAACACTGTATTTACTTAATTTTTCACATGTAACAAATTTCTCAAATTATCACAGAAAAACAAATAAATAACTTTAGACAATATTGGTTAATTAATCTTTTACGAAACATATTATTACCAGTATTTTTCGTATTTTGGAATAAACTTGTTGCTTAATATTTTTTTGACATTTGTACTTCATTAAATCTGTTAAGAAATAAACATTGATATTACACATCAATAGAACAATTACTTTTATCAGAAAATTTCGTTGGAAATCAATATTTTTCCAGTAACATGAAATATTACGCATTGTAATATCAACATTATACCTAGTTTGTAAACATTTTTGTGATTATATAATTTGGCATTGAGGGATAACGCACTCATTTGTACTAAATTTATTATTGATCTGAAACGCAATTGGGTCATTTTCATTAAAGCGTATTTTTTTGTCTGGCATTTTTTATAATTTGAAGTAACACAAAATTTAGTAAACATGCCAGTTACTTTATAGGTGCCATATTAATCAAACTTTCTAACAATGGTGTTGATATAAAAGAATCACAAATAACTTTGTTAAAAGCTCTGCTAATAGTGACACGCTCTAAACTTTATTTTATAGTGTACTAGGTAATTTTTTATCAGAATATAGTAAATTAAATTAACGGATGTTTCTAAACTATTTAAGATTATTGTTATTTCGTATAGAATTCATATTAGTCTTTTTATTCTTTCTTGAAGGAAAAGAAATAACGAATACTTTTGTTCTACTATTTAAACCTAACTCTCGTGATATTATTTTGAATGGAAGTCATAAAAAACTGTCTAATGCCGTCGCACAAGTTTGTACGAAATTTGAATAATCCTGGAAAAGTTATGTTATAAAATATGTAGTCATTACTGTGGCGTTTAATATCCGTAAGTATGGCAATATCCTAAAACTAAATAAAAAAAATGACAGTATCCTAGTTCAAGTTTTGTTTTGTCGGAAAATTATAATGCTATTAGGATAATAACCCTCGCCAGAGGCGCATCTTCGAGTGGCTGTACCTTCTTTAGAAAGCAAGTTAGGGCTTATATTTATTAGAACTTCTTCTTTATTTTTGAACATAGAATGTTGTGATGAAGTTTGGAAAACTAATTGTAGAACACTTGTATATTGAGAAATATTGAACTACATATACAATACATTCAAACTGTTTTATTAACAATACGACCCTTATTTTAATTCATAATTTTTAAGTAAGTATGTATTATGACAATATTAAACTTATTGCTCATGTTTGCATATTTTTCCCCACTAGCCAAGGCCATAGAAACAAGTAACTAGCAGTATGGATGATTTTTTTTATAACTACTTCAAAGTATACAGATTAATACGTATAAGAAATAGTTCATTGGTCTATCGATTTCCAAAATTCCAAAAAAATTTTGAAAATCATTTTGATTTTCGAAATTCTTTAATATCTTGGACTGGGCTGAAGATGAAGAAAAGTAAAAAAAACCTCCTTATAGGGAAAGTTTTTTCCAACAAAAAAGATACTTTGTACTTTTTTCCTCCGAGCTATGGTTTGGCCGGGAAAAAATTCAATAAACAAGGTATGCAAACTGTTCAATGATATGGTTAATTTTTAGTATATTGTAAGAAAATAGCAATTCTTCTGGTTCCCGGTGTAAATCCCCTTTGATCGTTTAATATAAAATTTTATACTGTTACAATATTAAGACGAATATTCAAAGAGTAGAATGTAAATTGTCAACAGGTATGAAAGTATCCAGGTAGGAAAAACAGTATACGTGAAAACGATAATTCTATGTAATTTTGTATTTAATTTTTTTTTGTATGATTTTGTAACAATACTATATATTATATAGTATTTATATATATATATTGTATTTACTATTTACTACCTTGAGTATAATCGAAAATAAAAAAAAAAAAATTTGGAAATTTTTTTCGAAAATTTTGAAAATTTTTTGAAATTTATGAATTTCTTTTTAATTTTTTATATTTTGCATTGAATTAAGATAGAATATTCATTTCTATATATTAATGTATTCAATATTTGAGTGAAATTTGACAATTCTTACTGTTGAAGAGTAAATTTATTCGCTTGTTTGCGCGCGGAAGATGACTTCATGGCTTTAATAATAATTTTTCCAAACTATAGCTCAGGCGAAAAAAGTGCAAAGAATGTTTTTTGTTGGAAAAAACTTCTTCAAGGTAGTATTTATTTTTTTCTACTTGATCCCAGTCCAAAATATTAAATAATTTCGAAAATCTAAATGTTTTTAAAAATTTTTTAGGACTGGGTAATTGATAGACCAGTGAACTTTTTCTTATATTAATCTGCATACTTTGAAGAACTTATAAAAAAAATCAGCCATATTGCTAATTACGTGTGCTTTTGGTGTAAATTTACTTCCTCGGACTGGGCTACACCTGGAACACGTAGAAGTCGAATATACATTTCTTGTGTGGTCGAAACTGTTGAAAAATTTCAAGAACTTTTACTAAATCATATTAATGATTTTGTCTCAACTTTCATAACAAGTATTATCAGGTTATGTATCTACGTATACATATGAGGAGTTGATTTTTAAAACGCAGTTTTCGATTTTGATTTTCAAAACGCATTTCTTTCGTATTCAAAAAAGTTTTAAACAAAATACCACAAAAAATATTTTCTAATGTCAGGTGATTAATACACTATTATTATCTTTATAGCACCAACAATTTTTCACATATGATTATTACGTAATAATCTCAAAATGTGTTATGTTTCAAAAACTGCGTTTTGAAAATCACCTCCCCATATATTCGTAGAAACAAATTATTTATATGTCCCCCTGATGTACGTAATTGTTAATGTTTCATGCAATTGCGAACTTTTTCTCGGGGAACGCAGTTATCGATACCGTGGTTGAGGGGTCAATGCCTTGGCATACAATTTTCTTCAATATCTTTATATTTCGTTATTACATAAATTGTAGTATAAAAATTTTCATTATTACTAAATAAGAAAATATGAGCATTTGTGGGATGATTTTGGAATGTACCTAAATGTAAAGCAATTTAACTATAATATAAAAACTAATTTTAACTTTTAAAAAACGCACTCCTTTTTGAAAGGTATAAATACTTTATAGGCAAAAATATTTTAAAATTAACAAAACAAAGGTTTAGTAGAGATACCAGTACCTACATACCTATGTTTTAGTTTCATGCGTACTCAGGAAACACCTTTATTCTATCCATAATTTCATCACTTGTTGATCATGTGAGCTTGAACGTTTTATGTCGGTGTCGTACAGTTTTAATCACTATTATAAGTACATCGAGTTCGTTGCGTCAATCAGCACTTCACGAAGTTTAAAGGTTAATACGATATTAAAAATTTGATAATGTCACCGTTTGGAGCCAAGGTGCGGGTCTATTGGAGTTACCTTTGATGAACAGTAAAGGTCATGCAAAATAAAGTATGTATAATTTGGTGTAATTTATACAGAGCGTAAGAAGTTTGACTGCCATGAGCATGAGATAGAGTAATCAGAAACGAACAAAAAAGTTGTATATTACATTGGCGTAAGGTTAACAGTTTTCAAAATACAGCGAGTATTAATATTGGGGGGTTTCATCACAACGTGATAACAGCGCTTAACCTAATGCTACACAGTTGATGCACAACACGTGTGCACGCGACAGACTTGTAATTTTTTTCTCGGAAGTGGTTGAGTTTAGGATCCATGTCATATAAGGTTTTTTTGTTTATTTTAATGTATTCTATCGTCTGTTAAAATTAAGTCAGTCGAACACCCTGTGTCGGGTAATACAACAAATATTTTCAGAGTTAAGTTGTGAATTTGTAATTTGTAATTTTTAATATAATTAATTAATTAAGTCTTAATCAAGATACTCGTATTTTTGTGAAATTAGACATTGTTCCTTATTTTTATAGTATTTTCTTGTTAGTTTGACTAAACAGAATTGTATGAAGCTTCGCTCTGTTTATTTTTTAAAGTTATACTTGTTGCACGTCGTTAAATGCACTGCTCTGGAGAAAAATATATTCTAATTTTCTGCTGGCTTTTGTTAATTTTGTTAAAAGAACAGAATAACAAACATATTTTTAAGGCTTGTAAGCAAAATTATACTAATACACCAGGAAAATTAGCGAAAATAAAAGAGAAACTCGAAAAAAGTCCTATCCGCTAGATTATTGTAAAATTGTCTAAAGGAACATAATACATGACATCTCTCGTCTTGTGAGTCAAAAACTTTTATTAGCTAACTTTTCTATTTAAACAAATAAGTGAGGAAAACAGTTTTTTCACTTTGCAGGGAAAACCATCAATTTTAGCGAAAAGTGACTCACAGACAGCTTATAGGGAGTAAAATTATCTACCAAATGAGACTGGTTAAATTAAAATCGGTTAATAAACAAAAAAGTTATTGCAAAAAGACAAGAAAAGTGCCCATTTTTTAATTTGTTTATAACTATCGCATTTATTGTTAAAATTTTATAAAACATGAAAAGTTGAGGGTTTTGTCATACTTTAAAAGTGTGCCAAAAGTGGGCGCTGTAGGTGCAATAGTTTTCGCACAATTCTATTTGTTTATAGCGGAGGCTCCAAAAGTTATGAACTTTAAGCCTCTGTACAGACGTTAATTTTCAATCAAACATGATTCTGAAAGCGTCATTGTAATCTTAAAGACGCAATTAAGCGACCTATTAAAAAATATCACCGTTTTTTTGACATTAACATTCTCAAATTGTGCATTAAAAAACCATGCGTTTTTCGCTTATAAACAATTTGAATAACATTGTTGCTATTTATGCTATCTCACCGAAAATAGATCCAATAGATAGCTGGCAAAAAAATACAGTTTTAAAATGAAAAAAGTAGCCTCTACGACCAACAGGAGCCAAGATAACAATTTTTTTTTTAAATCGTAGCGCAATTGTTTATAAATATTAAGACTTGAATTTTTCGCAAAATAAAGTTTACGACGTAAACTACGATTTCCCGTGAATTGCATTGAAAAATGTGGAAAATTAACGACTCACGAGCCCTTTAAAAAGAAGGTACTCGCTAAGTAAATTGTCCGGCGGCCGGCGGCGTGGTGGTGGGGGAAGTGCGCGCTTTAAATTTTGCAATATATCTCGGCTTCTATTCATCGTAGAAACTTATTTTTTTATAAACTGGGGTAGCTCGACGAAAAAATAACAATGGGCATATTTACGAATTCGTAGAATAGCCCTGAACCTCAGAAAAAATGCATATTTTATAATTAATTTTTTTTTAATTTACAAAAATGTCACAAAAATTATTGTTAAACGAAATATTAATTAAAATTTCAATTTCGGAATTATTTTACCATTACTAAATAAATAAATGAAGCTATCGTTCATTTAAAAAGTTATTTCTTTTACATATTAAGGCAAAGTAAACTTGTTTTTTAATATTTTGTTAACTATTTAATTACGATTTAAATGTTAAATTAAAGTAAAAATTCATAAATTATTTTCAAATTTCCCTGCAACGTGAAAAAACTTTTCCTCACTCATTTGTTTAAATAGAAAAGTTAGCTAATAAAAGTTTTTGACTCACGAGATGAGAGATGTCTTGTATTATGTTCCTTTAGACAATTTTACAATAATCTAGTGGATAGGACTTTTTTCGAGTAAAAATTTAATTTGATTGGTCTATAACGTAACTTGACTTAAATTGAAGCTATGTTTAAAGTATACTCTTATCATTTCTGAACAATCTTTATATCTATTTTATTCTCTATTAACGTTGAGATGTGATTCGGTATTTTGCGAAGAAGCTAGTTATTTAATAAATTGCAGAAATATAAATGTTTAATTCATTTAAACAGAATTTCCTGTTAGTCTTACCTATAGCAGTGTTATTAAAAGAAATATTACGAGATAATTTCTTTAAAGGTTTGCAATATTTTCTATTTCAAACATTAGGAACATTTTTAGAATTAACTTGAATTACATAGATTAATGTTAGTAGAGTAAAATGTATGTGAAGCCTACAGGTAAAAATGTTTTTTGGTAAAAAAATAATTATTTATCTTATAATTATTTTAAGAGCATATCTGACTTAGGAACAGTAATCTGTAGGAGTTGTAATCTTATATCTATTTTTAAGTTAAAAAGAACCGCTTTGGCAAGGAACATTTTTCAATTTAACTAAAACTTCAACAATGGTTTTTCAATCTATCATAATGCGATCTTACAGTACCTATCTGCTTATTAGACAAGCATCATAACATTGAACTGACCCTAGACATTTCAAGTGAAAAACATTTTTGTTTTAGCTAATCTTTCCTGTTTGAACTCAATTGCATCTACTTAAGAATTTATGTTACGAAAGATAAACTAATGTTTTTAATTGATTTTATGCTTTTATAGATTGTTGTAAACAAAATAGGTATCAGTTCATTTTGAAAATAATTTTTATTGAACACCTACAGCACTGACTTGAAAACCATTTTTACTGACTACAGTTCAAAAGGAATAATATCCGTATTATTTGACAAATTATTTTTGATAAGGTTTAGGCAAAATATCAAAAAATAAAAATAAATAATACACTTAAATTTCATTGTCAGGATGTTAAAGTTCATAAATCTATGAAGCTTTTAATTGAGTTTCTCTCGAAAATAGGTAATTTAAAATATTAAAATAGTTCCTTTATCATTCTCATATACAAACAGTTCACAAGGTTCATCACTGATATAAATCATTCAATAGAAATCGTGAAGAAAGATTATTAATTTGATTTAACATCAAACTTAATCATAAAAATGTTAAATTTGTAAACCTTAGGATTCATGATTCAAAAACTCACTTTTCCATTCGTTGGTTTAATTCAGGTTGGTTGAATTCAATAATAAAACAGAATTATATTACATGTTAAACAGTTATATTGCAATCTATTTATAGATCCTGCACCTCGTCCTGCACCAAATTCTTTTTTAATATCTCCACGTTATCTTTTTCATTTATGTTAATACCATTTCCTTCAGAGGTACATTATTTATCGCGATCTAGTAGTAACAGTAAAATGCTATTAAAATGTAAAGTTTTATGTGTTTTTTACGGTTTTGTTTTGGAACTATGATGGAGAATTTTATGGCAAACTTACCTTTACAACGTTTTAATTGCTATTTTGCATGAAGGCACACTAGCTTGTCAGGAGGATATTCATAATAAACTGCTATAAACTAATCGCGCCTCCTCGTCTGTTAAACATATAACATGGCACACATGCGCCGTAATCCTTATATAATGCGTATTCAGGCTCGACTGAGGCTGTACGGTGAGGGAAATAGCAATATTTGTTAGTGTTGCATGGTGTTGTCACTGCCCATAGCATGTTTTACAGTCTTTTTGCATTTACCAATTTTTGACCTTATTAATCAAGATCAATTCGCTAAGTTATTTTGGAATATGTAATTGTGATAAACTTAATTTCAATAAATTGTTCAAGAAATTTAAGATCACAGAACTGGTTTTAGTTTATTGGCCAAATTGGACCTATTGGCCTTTCATATTTATTAGAATTTCGTTTACATTTACATTAGAATTTTGACACTTATTTTTATTTTGAGTATTTAAAAACTGGATTGTACACTACTGGAAAAAATTATTGGAACAAAAAATGTTCATGAATTTTTTTTAGTGATTTTGATGAAAAGCTGCATCTCCGTGAAAAATGGTCGTATCGACATAAACAAAAAAGCGTTTTGAAGCTTTAAGTTTCTAGTTTGAAGATCTTTAGACAAAATATTTTTTTGAGCTACGGTTATCAAGCAATCAAAAGAAGTAAAAAGTAAATAAATCCAAATTTTTTCGTTTTTAGGACTCTTCATAAACTCAATCAATACAGAAGTCAGTTAGCTTATTTATTCAGCTTCAATTTGATGTTTGAAAGGTGTTGGTTGCCGAGATATCGATGGTTGATTGAAAAATAACACTATTGTCTTTAATCATCGATGTCTCTGCAAGAAACTATTACAAAGTAAATCCAAGTATGGTTTTGAAAAACTAAATAAATTCTCTACAAAAACCTGTTATAGTTTTCGAAGAAAAAAAAATTGTTTTCGTCCTTCACATCAATGTGAAAAAAGTACAAAAAATTAGTTTTTACAATTTTTTAGAAAATCTTCCGATAATTTACTAATATTGATGAAAAGACTAATAGGCTATTGAATATAGGATTTTAAAAGGAACTATGACGTTCAAGATATTTTATTACATGAATCGTTCAAATGGTTATTTTGGGTGAAGAAACCGCGGAATGCTATTAAATTAAAGGGTGGGAATTGGAGATTCAGTTTTTTAATTGTAGCTCGAAAACGAAGCAAAATTTCGCCATAATTCATAAGAAAAATTATTTAGAGAATTTTATGCAAAAAATCTTTAATAAAATATTTGAAAAAAGCAAAAAGTTCGATTCTCTTTTTTCGAAATAAAATCGAAAAATTAGCCAAGTTTGAACGGCCATATATCAGTCAATTTTCATCCAAAAATACTTTAGAACCTTTTGTTTTGAAGGAAATTTTTTTGAAATTTTGACAATGCCTATACCTATCTTTACTCAAAAAAAAACTATACTCTGGAAATGAAAGAGAGTAATAAAACCCCGAGATAAGAACCGGTCATGGGCGTGGTAATATTTCGTTTCAGGTAATTATCGGGTAACACTAATGCTAACAGGTAATGGGTGTACATTAGTATATTTTACTGGATACATCATAGAGCAGGAGCCAGTGTATTGTGACAGATCAATCCAGTCTTAGAACTGAATATACGAAGTCGTGCTACTGCAGTAGAGTAAAATTCGACTTGTGTTTAGTGACTATTATGCCAGTGGATGTAATATTGCTTGGGTAAAATGTCGAGCTTATCAGATTACGTACCTGCTAAACGCGTGAAAAGATGTGCGCTGTCTCAGAATGATAAGATTATTATATTAAATGTATTTAATGCACTGAAACACCAAAATCCTACCAACAGTGTTGACGACATCGTGGAAAAGTGTTCCAAAAGGACAAGGATTGGAAAATCTACTATCTACATACTTTTAAAGGAAACAAAAAATGAATAAGATACTGTAAATCCCCCAAAATCATTTACAGGGAGGTCAAAAGTCGTTATAGATGATTTCTTCAAAAATGTCATTCGCAGAAAAGTACACTCATTTAATTTTAAAAAAGAAATACCAACGCTAAACAAAATTTTAAGTGAACTTTCAGAGGACAACGATTTTCCAAAAATCAGTAGAACCAAATTATGGGCCGTCTTACGAGAGTTGAAGTTTTGCTGGGAAAAGCAGAACAGGAAGTCAGTTCTTATTAGGACGGATTGTCGGGGATTAAATTTTAGCTACCTGCTACAATTTAGTACAGTCCGATCGCACAAAGTTTTGTTAAAAGTAGACCTCATCTGTACGGAAAATACATAATATAAAAATATTGAATATAAGCACCAGTACTACATTTATTTACGATTTGCATACATAATGAGCTTTTATTACTCTCTTTCATTTCTAAACAGACTATAGAGGCAAAAAGTAAAAAAAAAAATCAAAATCGAATTTTATACTTTTTTTTCAAATTGCTTAACGATTTTTTTGCATAAAATTTTCCTTTTGTATTTTGTAAGTAAACTACTTATTTCGATGGGAAATTCAATTCTCTAAATAATTTTTCCTATGAACTATACCGAAATTTTGCTTCGTTTTCGAGCTACAATTAAAAGACTGAAAGGGGTGCATTTTCACCCCTATCTCCAATTTCCACCCTCTAATTTAATAGCACTCCGCGGTTTTTTCATCTAAAATGACCCTTTGAACGATTCATGCAATAAAATTGCTTGAACGTCATAGTTCTTTTTAACCCTGTTGTTTTGGATATAATCAATAGCTAACTGCTCAAAATGTCGATGTTGCTATCGCAGCCTACTATGCAATTTTAAACCGCATTTTATTCGAATATCGAAGTATGTTTTCAGTTCGTTTTTTAAGTTTTAGGCTTTTTCGAAAAGATAACATTTGTAGAAAATTGAAAGACGAATCCGAAAATATCATGGCTGTTACCGTAAAGCATTGGCGTACTATTTTATTTAGAAAAATATGCCACCGATACCCTCTCCGCCACTGGAGCATGTAAATTTTAGGAGAAGCCCTCAGATTTTAGACAATGTGTACATAAATACATGTGCCCATGTGTTTCAAATTATTTCAATTACAAGTTTTCAAATTATTAAAAAAAAATTAAAATTATATTTTGAAGTTTAACACCCTGTATCTTTTTAACGAAGCGCCCCAGATAAAAACTTTATAGGAAAGACTGCCCTTAAAATTCACCAAAGAAAACGAGGTTTCATTTTTAGTCACCATTTGTGAATCACTCTGTATATCAAGTCATTAAAAAACACAAAAACTGACCAGGAATTATAGCCTATTCTGTTGTATCCAAATTCTTGGCCAATTTATTGCTGCAAAAAAAAAATATCGCCTTGGCTAATTTCTTGATCAATTCATTGTGTAAATGGAAAACAGGCCATAATCTGGCGTAGATCATCAAGTCTATTACGATTTGCGGTTTGATATTGATTCATTTTTATTGTAAATGTTGGTAGCCTTAAATTTGACCAATAACATTAAATGTATTAACTCGATCGACAATAGATTGACCGATTTATTGTAATAGATAAAATGGTGCCATAAATATAGCAAGTTTTAAATAATTTCCTCAACAATTTATTGGGTTAAAAATTGTTTAAACGTAAAACCCGGATTAGTGATTTATTGCCTTCATTTCTTTTTATTTAATAGTACATAGGATTTTTATGACATGTCTACGTTTAGGATAACAAATGCGATATCTTCTACATTTGCTAATCTCTTGAGAAGAGATTAAATATTTTGTTTGATCACGGATCAACATGTTTCTTTAATGGCATTGAATTTATCTTCTTCAAATAATGATTATAACAATAATTCTTGTATATAGGATGGCCACTATAATGCAGTACATTTGTTAAAAAAGAACAACATTTTTATTTGAAAAATAAGTAGTCTTTCCTTGTTAAGTGCCTCAGAAGTGTTTAATTTGAGAAATGTGAGAGTTTACATTCTATGGCTGTTTTTTTTTTTCAAGTAGCAAATATTTCTCATTTATTTGCATCTCTTCTTTGCCTTTTTTAAACTAATTTTCTCTGTGGGTAGTCTTTAAAATTGTACTAGTAACTTTTGAAGATAATTTCTCTTTGTCTCACTACTACCAAATAAAAGGAGAAAGACAGTGGTATGAGATTATACTTGAGCTTCCTGTTAATAGACGGCACAGTTACGGAACAGTCTTTAGTCTAGCATGGTGCAGTTGTCGTTTTACTTTTAATATTTTTTTTAATTACGTTTTAATTAACGGTTCTTGTACAAATAAAGAAGTTCAATTTTATGCCACATTATATAATTTTGCGGTAACATACAAAATGCAAATACAAATGATTTGATTCAACACTATGATACTATAATTTCTTTGGTTTTAAAGGAATAATGTGGCCTCATAGGCCACTAGTAAGTTATGACTAGTGAGTTATAGAAATCATAAAAAGACAAATGTTTGGTTTATTTTTCTAGTTTTTATTAGAAAACCAATTTGAGACAGTAATAAGTCAACAAATGTCAACCTAAAATGCTACAAACTTACAAACTTACAATCTACCTATTTATTAATAACATTTATGTTAAAGCGGTAATTTGATGCCAAAGGATTATTGGAATCATTTTGTGATTGTGGTAAATTTATATAGGATTACCCCTTTGCTTGTGCTTGCTTCAGGAGTCTGCACCCCTTGTATCTTTTTAGCAATATCAATTTTGCTGAAAATTAACTCTTCTATATAACCTTCTGCCACGGTAGATGACTTTCATCCACCGTGGTGTTTGAGTGTTGTAACATCCCCTCCAGCATTGGCCAAGAGAGCTGCAGATGCGCGACGCAAGCCATGCCCTTTATATAAATTAGAATCTGTCAAGCCCAAAAATCGAGCAACAACATGACAGCTTATTAGTACCAACACATTGACGTGTGCATTTTGAAAATTGCAAAAGAACCTTTTATGCTGCACATTTTGAGACCTTAGCCTAGAATATTCTCTAATTAATTCAATTGGATTAACACGAAATCCCTTATTTAACACAAACTTCTTGGTTTGTTCGTTTTAGTATTTGAAATCATGATGT